GGATGTGACAAGCAGTTTTCAGATGAAGAAATCTAAGCTATCAATAGCTTTATGAAAAAATGCTCCAAATCACTAACAATTAGAGAAATGAAAATCAGAGGAACTCTGAAGTTCCACCTCATACCCACGAGATTGGCAAAGTTGACAGAAAAAGGAAAACGAGAAATGTTGGAGTTGCTTCAGGAAAACAGATACATTAATACACTGTTGGTGGAGCTGTGAGTTGGTTGAGCCATTTTGGAAGATAATTTGGAATTACACTTAAAAAGCTATCAGACCATGAATACCCTTTGACCCAGTAATATAGCTACTAGGCCTATGCCCCAAGTAGACCAAAGAAAGAAGAAGAGTACTCATAAATACAAAAAATATTTATAACAGCTCTTTTCATAGTGGCAGAGAACTGGAAACTAAGGGGGTACCCATCAACTGGAGAACGACTCCAGTCATGACTCCAAATGGAGAAATCCTATGAATGTGATGGAATATATTGTGATATAAGAAATGATGAAGTGAATGGTTTCTGAGAAACTAGGGAAGACTTGTATAAGCTGATGCAGAGTGACATGAGCAGAACCAGGAAAACAATAACAACATTAGAAAGAAATAACTTTGAAAGATTTAAGAACTCTGATCAACATGATGACAAACCATAATTTTATAGGAGCCATGATAAAACATGCTGCTCACTTTCCTCATCAAAAGAAGCTCCTTTCCCAACTTGTAACTTCACCAACAGTATATTAATGTATCTGTTTTGCCAAAGCTCCTTGAACATCTACCATTTTCCTTTTTTATCATCTTTGCCAGAGGTGAGAGACTTAGGGTACAGATTGAGACATATATGTTTTGGACATGGCCAAAGCAGGAATTGGTTTTGCTTGCCTATGCATATATTTGTTATTGAGATTTTATTTTTCTTTTTCTACAGGGGGAGGGATGTGTGGGAAGGAGAGAAAATAGATTTTTTTCACTGAAAAATTTAAATTAACTTTGAAGAATAAAAAGAGGTAGGAGCTTCCTTTGTTGGCGAAAAAACCCCAACCTGAATTAGACTGATAGAATGGTTAGCCAGTTGGAAAGCTTCTAGAATCACAGGCCTAAAGTTCATAGCTCTTCTTCAGCCCAGAACTCACCTGCCTCTCCCCAACCCTAGGAGAGTAAGGATCTTTTCCACTAGCCTAATTGGGAAGCCCCATCTTAGAGTCTAAGTGTCAGGTGGAGCATTGGAATCCTTTAGTTCATGGAAGATGAGGATGACCAGCAGGGAGATGAGACATTACATCCTTTATACAAGATGCATAAGGCATTGACTCCTTTCTTCCTCAGCTGCCCCGATCTTTTCCTTTTCTGGTTAATTTTGTATGTGAGATAGGAGAGGGGAAGGGAGATAATTCTCCCAGTTGCTGCTTTCTTCCTCTCCCTCTTGTTCTAGAAGGAACCTTCTGCAAAGAAAACAACCAGACTTCACATCATTCAGCTTTGGAGCTGGGAGGAACCTTGAAGTTCATCTAATACAGCCACTTCATCTTACAAGGAAGAAAAGGAAAGGGACTTTTTTATTTTCAAAGAGAGAATTAGAAGCAAATCTGGGTCTTCTAGGTGTTCTAACTCTCAGTCCAATATTTTATAATATGCCTTATTCATTCAACAAACACTTGGGGTAGGACAGGTGGACCTTTTTCAATTGAAGTGAATTAAATTTTCCTGTCAGCAATAAAATCCTGCTCTCTCAACACATTCATTAAGTACCTAATCTGAACAGAGCTTAAATAAGACAGGATCTCTGGACTCAAGAAACTGTAAACCTATTTAGGCAGAGAAGACACAGAAGCAAATAATTATAATGCAATATTATGTGTTAAGTATCTTAGAGAGGCACCATAAAGGGGCCTGCCTGATGGAGGAAGATTATGATTGAAAGATTCCTCAGCCTATACGAGTGAATTTGCTCAGCACTGTCCTTGAACCGTATTTTCTGAACAAGTACTAAGCTAGGTAATAACCAAAGCCCTCTCTAGGAAGGTCTTTACTACCTAAGTGGTTAGTATTTATCTCATCTCTTGCCTCCACCTCCCTGCCCCAGAGCCCGGGTGTCATAATTCTCTCTTTTTCACACTGATTCCCTTTCCCCCTCAGAGGCCCAGGGCTTATAGAGCTTATAACAAAGGGTCCTCCGTTTTCCAGGATATGCCAGGGTCCAAGAAGGAAAGGGGGTAGGTATGAGAAAAAGCAAGTAACAGAGAAAAAGAGAGATAGATGTGAGTACGGTTAAAGGCTTGGTGAATGATTGTGGTTGTGATGGAAGTGGCATTAGCTTTGGTAGTATGGTGGACACGGTAATTTGGGCTATGTAAAGCTACACATCATTTATTGAGCACCGCTATGCAGAGTCAACAGACATTTATTAGGTGCTTATTGTGTGCCAGCCACTGTGTTGACAAAAGGCAAAAATAGGATCCTTGCTCTCAGGAACCTCACATTTTAACAGAGGCAATAACATTCCAACAGCTATGTATATAAAAGATATATTCAGTGTGACTAGAAGGTAATTTCAAAGGAAAGAGACTGGGGGAGGTGGGGAGACTGGGAAAGGCCTCCTGCAGAAGGTGAGATTTGAGTAAGCCAGGGAAGCCAGGAGGCAGAGAGGAGGGACATGAGGGACAGCCAGTTTGAAGGCATGGATACAGGAGATGGAGTGTCCAGGCTGAGGAACTGCAAGTAGGCCAGGGAATCTGTTGTAGATCAGTGGTATCAAACACAAATAGAAACTGGGCCAGTAAAGCAGGGTGGCATGGGTCCCCTGTTTGACAGCTCTGTTGTAGAGCGAGTGAAGGGGGAAAAAACTGGAGAGGTGGAAATAGGTCAGTTTGTGAAGGTCTTTGAAAAAAGCAAAGTATTAGGTAAAAATTAGGGTCAGGATTAGGTTCAGTAGGTCAGGGTTAAGATTAAGTTTTTAGAATATAAACTGGTTGTTTAATCCTGGGCAAATCATGTAATCTCTGTCAGCCTTAGTTTCTTCATTTGTGAAATGGGGATAATAATAACACCTTATTTAGGATCAGGGGCAGCTAGGTGGCACCTTGCTGGATGAAGTGCCAGGCCTGAAGTTAGGAAGATTCATCTTACTGAGTTAAAATCTGGCCTCAGACACTTACTAGCTGTGTGGCCCTGGGCAAGTCACTTAACCCTGTTTGCCTCAGTTTCCTCATCTGGAAAATGAACTGGAGAAGGTAATGGCAAACCACTTCAGTATATTTGCCAAGAAAACCCCAAATCGGGTCACAAAGAATTGGACACGACTGAAAAATGATTAAACAGCAGCAGTATTGAGGATCAAATGAGAATATGATGCATTTTGCAAATCTTAAAGTGCTATATGTTAGCTATTAGTAGGTAAATATATACATATAAATATGTATATACATGTATATATATCTATACATATTAGGGAGATACACCCAATCATATGGATGGATTCAGAATTGAGTGGATGGCCAGATACAAAAAGGAGAAGATAATAGTTCAATTTCAACAAGGCAGGAAGTCCCCGGTGGATTGTCACAGTGATCTGAGCAGCTCAGTGACGTAGTAGAGAGCTACTCCTGACCAGGAAGACCTGAGCTCAAATCTAGCCTCAGGGGCAGCTGGGTGGTACATAGAGCACTGAGCCTGGAATCAGGAGGACCCAAGTTCAAATTCAGCCTCAGATATTTACTAGCTCTGTGACTCTGGACAAGGCACTTATCCCTGAATAGCTAAAACAAACAAATCCAGCCTCAGATTTTTATTGGTTATGTGACCCTGAACAAGTCACTTAGCCTTAGTTTCCTCAACTGTAAAATAAAGATAATAACAGCATCTACCACTCAGAGATGTTGTGAAGGTCAAATGAGATAGTTATAAAGTACTTAGCATAGTGCCCGACACATAGTAATTTCTAAAGAAATATTAGCTATTCTTTTTAACTGCATTTGGCCATATGCAATACCATGGTATACTCATAAAATCTGCAGATGCCTAAACTGGGTTGACAGTCAGGATCCAAAAGTATGTCAATAGGCTTAGAACATTGGGCTGAATTTTTTTTTATATTTTATTTTCCCCCCCTCCAATTACAGTAAAAACAATTTCTAACATTTGTTTTTAAAAATTTTGCATTCCAAACTCTCTCTCCCTCCCTGAGATGGTAAGCAATTTCATATAAGTTATACATATGAAATCATGTAAAATATATTTGCATATTAGTCACGTTGTAAAAGAAAACATAGATTAAAAAAAACGCCACAAAAAAATAAAGTGAAAAACAGTATGCTTTGATCTGCATTCAGACTCCATCAGGCAATGGTCAGACTCCGTTTTCTTCCCAAAAAAATTTCTTAACTAATTGTTTTTAGTTTTCAACATTCACTTCTATAAGATTTTGAGTTTGAAGTTTTCTCCCCCTCCTCTCCTGAAGACAGTGTACAATCTTATATAGGCTATATATGTACAATCATGTTAAATATATTTCCACATTACAGACTCCCTTTCTAATTCAATTAGAGGTAGCTAATAGAGCGCTGGGCCTGAGTCAGAGAGGCCTGAGTTCAAATCCAGATTTATACTTTATATTAGCTGTGTGACACTTGGTAGAGCTGAAGTGGGGTGAGCTGTGTGAATGCTCCCTCAGATGGAAGTTCATGCCAGGAAGATGCAGCAGGAGTGGAGGAGGCATCTCCAGGATGGGAAGACCTCTAGGGAGGAGATGGAAAAGTATAAATTTATATAAATGTATGTGCCTCTGTGTGTGTGTGCATGTGTGTGTGTGTGTGTGTGTGTGTGTGTATGTATGTATGTATATGTAATGTTTTGGGACCAGATATGTGATTTCAACCATCTAGGGAGCTTCCAGTGAAGAACTTCCTCTATTAATGCAGATAGCTGCCTTCTCCATAACTTACTACTGTTAGTATTACAGAGTTTCCTGGAGTCAGAGAAAGGTTAAGTGATTTGTGTAGGGCCACACAGCATATGTGTGTATATGCGTGTCTATGTGTGTGTGTGTGGGGGGGTTAGCTCTTTCTTCCACTATGCAACAGTTCTTCCTCTCTCTTTCCCTGCCCAGTTCTTTACCATTCTTGCATTAGTGAAAAATCCATTGCTTTCCTCTGTATGTGTGCGGGTGCATAAAATTACCTTTATTTAAAAACTAAAGAATAGCTTTTGTGAGTCCCCAAATAGATCTATGCCAGCAACTGTCAAGCAATCTCAGGGCCATCTGTGCTCTTCATATGTAGCCTGCAGCTCCTCAAGACCTCTAATTTCTGTAGGAAGATGTTCCATTATACTCCATGGGTCAAGTAATAGAGGCACACAGCTCTTCTTCCTAATGCCTGAAAATATGGTGGATTGCTTAAGAGTACCATCAACTTATTCTGACCATTATCAGTTTCAGAAAACAGCAAGACAGTTATGACCTCTGCCTTCCATTCTGCTCCCTTCCTAATCACATATGTGCAAGCTAAGGTTTTCTTCAGCTAAACAAGTATGCTGTAGGCACCTGAAGAACAGGCTATCCAGACAGAGACATTTAAAACTGCAAGTAAAGAGCTTCACACTACGGGCACTAGTCATATTCATGTCTGATTGTGCACCCCAGTGCATAGCAAAAAAGCCAAAATGGATCTGAATTGCAAAAGTCTCATCAAATACGAAGGGTTAGATCTCTGAGTACTATAAGGAAAACTGTCATGGGGGTTCTAGGGCATCACTAAATAATGGGGTGTTGCAAGAGTACCTGAGACCCTTCTACCTCCAAAATAAAAGTGCATGGAGGGAATGAATGAAAAGCATTTACCAAGTATTGTGCCAATCACTGAGCCAACATGAACGTCAAAGCAAGATAGTTTCTGCTTTCAAAGAGTTTACATTTTGTAGAGGGAAATTGTGTATAGGGGAATTGTGGCCATAGGAGTGTTTTGGTTTGGGCTTGAGAAATCACAGCAGATCCATTTTGTTCAATCACTTTTTCCATTGTTTCCATCTCTTTGTGACCCCATTTGGGGTTTTCTTGGTAAAGATACTGGAGTAGTTTGCCATTTCTTTTTCCAACTCATTTTCCAGATGAGATAACTGAGGCAAACAGAGTTAAGTGACTTGCCTAGGGTCCCAGAGCTAGTAAGTGTCTGAGGCCAGATTTGAACTTAGGAAGATGAGTCTTCCTGACTCCAGGCCAGGCATTCTATGCATTGACATGCCTTTTCCAGAAACAATAATAGTTTTGATTTGATTATTGTTTCCGGAACAAGAGGTAGAAAGGTGGGAGAACAAAGGCAGACTGGATAACAAAGAAATGTCTAAGGTAGATGAAGGATGGTCTGGGATCTGAGGCTGGCTGATTATAGTGGGCTATGAACTCACTGTATCTATGCTCACTCAGAAAGTTTGGATAAACATTAGCTCTCATGGTTTAATGATCATCTCTATAAACTTGACTCCCAAATTTATATATCCAGCCATACTCTCTCTCATCAACTTCAGTCTGTCACCAATGTCTTGTTGGTTATCTCCAAAAGGATGCTTCTCACAGGCATAGCCTACATGTCCAAAGCACAACTCATTATCTTCATTCTCTCTAATCCCTTAAAACTACAGTTTATTGAGACTTACCAATTTCTATTGAGAACATACTAATTCAGGTTTGCAACCTTGAAATTATCCCTGATTCTCCACTCTCCCTCACACTCCATATTAAATTAGGTTCCAAGTCCTTTATTAAACCTATTTCCAAACTATTTCTCTCATCCGTCTCCTTTCTCTGAACTCACAAAGTCTGAACTCCAGTTCATGCCTTCATCACTTTTTGCCTGGACTATTAGAATAAACCTCCATTGGTCTCCCTGACTCCAATCCACTTTCTACTCCAAAGCTGTTAAAATAATCTCCCTAAAGTACAGCTCTGATCATGGCACCTCTCTGTTCAAAAATCTTCGGAGTCTCTCTATTGCCTCTAGGATATTTCACTCTATGTTCCAGGGAAATAAACAAACATGTTGTCCCTTGAACTGTGCATTCCATCTCCTTCATACAACTTAGTCCCTGTGCCTAGAATATATTCCCCTTCCTCACCTCCACCTCTCATAATTTTCAGTTTACTTCAATGTTCAGCTCAGATGGCTTTCCTGATTCCCCTGACTAGTGGTCCCTCCCTCCTCAAATTACCTTGTATTTAACTATTCCTTCATATGATGTACCCTCCATGAGTCAACAAGGACTGATTGTGGCATAGGAAGACACCTAGAATATAGTAGGAAAACATGAGAACAAAAGAAAGTGACAACAGAAGGACTGGCTAAAATGAGCGAGTTCCATGGAGGATGGGGTGGCTACGAAACACCACAAACTAAGCAGAAAGAAGGTAACCTTGGATTGGAGCATGCTAGCGGCAGTTCTGTAATTTGTATCTTAAACAGCTGTCAGAAGTACTGACTGACTTAGCTTAGGGTCACACAAGCAGTATGTGATCAGAGGCAGGATTTGAATGCAGCTCTTCCTGACTTGGAAGCAGGGTTCTGTATCTTTTACTACAGGGGTTTGCAAACTTTTTGGTCTTGGAACCCCTTTACATTCTTAAAAATTACTGAGGACTTCAAAGAGCTCAACCATTAATCATTTCATGTATATTTATGTTAATATCTCTATTAATGTCTACTATATTACAAAATAAAACTGTTTTAAAAGTATTTATTAAAGTAACAGAGCTATTACATGTTAACATATTTTGTGAAAAATAATTATATTTTCAAACTTGTTTTACATATTTTCACAAAACTCTTTCATTTCTGATTTAATAGAAGACTTCTGGGTTATATCTGCTTCTGCATTTAAACTGTGTTGTTGTTTTGGTTGAATTATATCAAATGAGAATATTTGTAAGGGGCTTAGTACAGGGCTTGACACAGGACCCATTTAATAAATCTTGTTCCTTTCCCTTCCCCTCTTCTATGATAGGTAGTTGGAAAAAAAGAGTATTTTAATTGGCAAATAACACCTTAGTATTATTATGAAAATAGTTTTGACTTTACACTCCCACCTGACAGTATCTTGGAGATCCCTTAGGGATCTTTAGATGATACTTTGAGAAGCGCTGCTCTTCTACCCTGTTTCTTCTTCCCCTTTTCCCTATCCCTTACTCTAGTTGAGCTTTTCTTTCTTCTCCACAAATGAATTTCTCTTAAACAATGGATTTCAGCGTTTTGACCTGGCCTCATAGATTAGAGCTGGATGAAACCTTAGAAATCAATCTAGTTCCCCACCTTACTATATCAGAAACTGAGGCCCAGATTAGGGATGAGATGTTAAAGGAAGAGCTGGGATTCAAACCCAGATCCTCTCAGGCCAAATACAGGACTATTTTCAAAGTACCACACAGTTTATCCTTCGAGAGGTCTTCCATTTAATCTCAACATATAAAAAGACCTCATCAGTGCTGGATAAACTTCACCCATTTCAAAACCCCGTCCACTCAGAGTGATCATTAAATGATTAGCCAGTTTACAAGTGACTAACCCACCTCCCTCTGCGTAGGTATTTAAGGTGAGTCAGCTCCATCTGTTGTTGCTTCTACTTAGTCTACTAACTGCCAACATTTCACTGGAGTGTGAATTGAATCACAGATTTAGAACAAGAAAGTTCTCATTTTACAGAAGAAGAGACTCAGGCCCAGGAGAGGTTGTCTCACTGTAGCAGAGCTGGGTTTCAAATCTAGGCCCACTAACATCCCAACCCAGCTACTGTCTCTATTGTGTACTTCACTGCCTCTTGGAACAGAAGCCCTAATCCTGGGTATCTCGGTTGGCTATGAAGGACTACGAACCCAAATTCAGCTTTTAGGTCATATTGGTTGGGAAGTGGCTTTCAAGTCAGCAACCAGGTACTTAAATAACATATATTGGCATATTGCTCTTTATTCCTGAGTCATCCCAAGGCATTCTGGAGACAGAGAACTAACTGCAAATCCTCTGGGCAGCTAAGGGCAAAAGGGCAATTAGTAGGATACTCCCTTTCCTGGATGTTTGGTCTCTCCAGAGCTCTGTGACAAGGGTGCCCCCTGATGGGAATCTTCAGAGCTTTCTTTATGACCTAATCTTCAAGCATAATCCACTAGGAAATGCCCTAGTTCTCCTAAAATCTTACAAGGTTGGTGGACTCTCATAAACCCAACCCAACTTCAACATCTTATAGCTTTCACTTAAAACTAACAAATGATTACCTTTTACAACAGAAGTGGCAACAGAAGCTTAATTCTTGATTTTGCGACAATTTCTCCCTGGTTTCAGATCTCTGGCTATAACTTACCCATTCAGTAGGCACAGGTAAGCTAGTGGTTACACGAATACTAAGTAATTTATGAGGTTGTTTTTTAATCAGTCTTTTCTTTCTAACAGTGTTTCTCCAACACAAATCATTAAGATGCTAATGTTCCTATAACCTTATTCCCATTCTACTAATCCTGAAATCCATTCTCTCAAGAATATAGCAATTTTATGTCATTTTTCAGTATAGAATTAAGGGCAGTAGGAGAGCTGGTACTATTATTGCTTCACTAATTCTATGAATTGTATATTTATTTGTAGTCTGTATATTATCAGGAATAATTTTATAAGTCAAGTTAGGGAACAACACCCTGGCAGTAGCTGTTTTATCGTCATCATTTCCTTCCTTTAGAAGGATAGCAAGTTAAGTAGATGCGATTCCTGCCCTTTATTAATTTAAAGACCAACAGATACATTGAAAATATAAGTGACAAGGTGTTTATATAGGAATTTAAAATGGCAAGGCTGGAATATATTTACATTAGATATAAGGAAAGGAAATCTTGTGTATTGTCTTAAAAAACATCTCTGGAGGTGGGAAGCAGCAGGGGATACCTACCATAGACAGAGAAAGTTTGGGCTTTTAAAGATTTTGCCTAACAATGGATCTTAGTTAAAAGTAATTAGGGGGGAGAGGGATGTCAGAAATTATCTTCCTCTTGGGAGACACCAATGGGTTTCTAATCATGATATACTTTGGATCACAGTGACTTTTAAAATAAAGGAAAAGAAAGAAGAAACACTATCATCTGAAACGGTCAGCAGAGGGGCAGTTCTTAGTTCTTATTTTGGAACTGAGGAAGCCTGTTTTCTAGTTTCCAATTCTCCACCTCTCTCCCCCCGACCCCCCTCCTCCCCTGAGGCTGCTCGGAGCTATTTAGAGGAGTCTCCTTTTCGAAAATCAACCTGGTCACACCAAATCCTCCCTTGCACTCAAGTTTCCCACTTTGAGAAAACTGGGATCTGAAGAAAAAAACGGAGATGGGGTACTTCCTGGGAACTGGATGTGAGGATCCGGAAGGGGGTCGGCAAAAGCTTGTTTTTTAAGCGCATCAACCTATATGCGTCTTTTTTTAAAAAGGGCTAAGTTTGGAAGAAAAAGCTTAAGTCTGTCCTTTGTCGGGGTAGTGAAGAAATGGGCTGATTTCCAGGTGATATTGGGAATCAAACACCTCAAAGGAGGGGGTGGGGCAGGTTGCTCCCCCAGGTCAAAAAACATCTATTAAAGTGATTACTTAGCCAGTGCTAAGCGCTGGAATACAAAGAAAAGCAAAAAAGGTAGCAAAGGGCGTGGAGTTAGGTTGGATTCTTGGCTCTAGGTGACTCGAGGCATAGAAACACGCTCACAGGAAAAGGATAACGGGGAGGTCCAAGTTGGGGACCCGGCAATTCAGAAACTCCTGGGGAAGAGAGAGGAGGGAGAAGTGAAGGATTGGGGTAGGGGGGAAAGGATCAGATCCCGCCTACTCGCTTCCGGGCGGAGACTCTTGGCCCCTCCCTCCGACACAGGTCGCTGGAGGCGGGGAAAGGGTTTTCCCGGACGCATGCGCACCCGGTCACCCCTGCTCTAGGGAAAGGTCCCCTTCTCTCCCTAAACAACCACTTCTCCCCCTTCCCTTCCTTCCCTCCCCCTCCCTCCCTCCTTGCATCTACCACTCTCACGGAGGGAGGGAAGCAAGGCTACTCCTCCAGGTATTCAGGAGCCCTGTTCCCTTTTTCTTAGAGAAAGGGGAAGCGCGAGAGAGTACTTCCTTTTGAAAATGTTAGAAATATCGAGGCACCTCCAGTGCCTGTCCCGAAGTAACCGGACAGTTCTGAGGCGCGCAGGTTTCTGTTTGCGGCTTCCCTTCTCCTGCTCTCCCCTCCCCAGCTCTCCTTCGCGGAGCCGGGGAAGAGTGGCACGCCCGGATCCCAGCTGATCAGCTGCTGGGGCCTTGGCGTCGGCTCTTCCCCCGGGCGAGACCATTCTCGACCCGTGAGGAGGGGTGGGGCAGTAAAGTTGGGGAAGGAGGAGGGGGGAGAAGGAGGAAGCGGCCATTGTCCGGTCAGCGCAGCCTCCGGGGAGGGTGCGTGTGTTACGGAGTATGGTGGACCCCGGGGTCCGCCGTGGCTGCCGCTAGCCCAGAGCGGGGGGACCAGGGGGGCCAGCGCCGCCGCACGGGGACATCTCTCGGGCCAGGGAGCGGCGGTGGGACCTGCCGAGGGCGCCGGTCTTCCCTCTTCCCCCGTGGGTCCCTCCTTCCATCAACACACCTCCTTTCCTTCCTCTCGGGCTCCCCTCCCCTCACCACGCACCGCCTCTCCCACCCCCGTTTCCGCAGGCCGAGTGGTGCGGCCCGCCTCCAGCTGACCGGCCTGGAATCCCGGCTCCGAGCCCCGGACTCGCGCCTGCCCGCGCGCTCCCCCTCCCCCCGCCTCGAGCCCCCCGACGCCGCCGCCACCGCCGCTGCTGCTGCTGCTGCCGCGCCGCCGCCGCCTCAGCCTCGTCCTCCACGGGCCCAGGCCGCTGTCGCTGCCGCCGCCGAGCACCGCTGCCGCCGAGCACCATGGGAGACGCCGGGAGCGAGCGCAGCAAAGCGCCCAGCCTGCCTCCTCGATGCCCCTGCGGCTTTTGGGGGTGAGTGCTGGGGTCGGGGCTGGGACGCTGGAGTCGGCACGGGGTGGGCAGGAGCCGGGAGGGGGGGCCGTGTTAGGCCCCGGTCGGGCCTACGGGGGGAGCTGGGGCAATGTCCCGAGGCCGGGCCTGGACCGGGGAGGCGGAGGGAGCTGTGCCCGGGCTCCTCCTTCCTCCCCCACCTTCCTATCCCCCTCCCCCCACTTTCCCATCCTCGTCTCCCGACTTTTCTGCCCTCTTACTCTGCACCTTTGTATCCCCCTCCCCTGCACTTTTCTGCGTCCCCTTGAACCTTTTTATCCCTTCCCCACTTTTCTGTCCCCTTCCCCTAGAACCTTTGTGTCCCCCTCCCCCTCACCTTTGTGTCCCCCTTTCTCTCTTACTTTTCTGTTCCCCTCCTACCCTTCTGTGCTCCCCTTCTTGATGGGAGGAGGGAATGCCTCGCATAGTTGCCGCTCTCTGTGCCAGATAGGGGTCGTCTTCTCCGCCCCCCCGGCAAAGGGTTTCTCCCATCCCCCTCCAGCATCCCGGTTGGGGTCTGGGCTTGTGCCCAGGCTGCAAGAGGGTATTTCCTCTCTTCCCTTCCCCGCCCTCCCCCCATCCCCCAGAAGCTTGCATAATCACTTCCTAAATTATATCCCAGTGCCCTATTTGCTTTTCTTTATTGAGGGCAGAGCCCTGAGCTGGTGTAAGAGGCATTTTAGCAAAGTAATCTCCTGCCTTTTTTGGAGTTGTCCTTAAAAGTTGTTGTGTGTGTCATTTTTTGTTTTAAATAGAAAAGGCACGACAAAAATCTTCATGTCAAAACACCTTGCCTAATCAGTCTGGCTAGTGAAGGGAATATTGTGAGGGGGGAAAGGAAATCTTTAGACTTTGTGACCGTCTGCACTTCCTAGTGGAAGGCCAAAGTTGGAAGTCTGAAAATGAGCTGTAGCTAAGGCTAAGGTACTGAAGGTTTAAAACCGGTGTTTTTTGACTGAAGTTTTCTTTCATACTGATAGACAAAAGAACTTGTGTACAATGTTTGCAACATCGACTTGAAAAAAATCTGGTGTCACAGGAATCATGTGATAGTAGTTTGTTAAATGAAGGTGTGAGGCTTAAAAGTAGGTAGCTGCTCATGACAGCTAACACCCAGAATATTTTGGAAGTCAATTTCTTAGCAAAAAGTTTGTCTTCTTGGGACCATTACTTAAAGCGTTGTTGAGACATTTAAAACTATTGAGGAAATTATTTTTATCTTTAGGATACTCTTTTGAATTAGAGAGAATGCTGCTATTTCTGTTCTAGGCCTATGCTAAACATATAGGACTTGTGTTTTTGATACTTGGTCTGAAACGTTTTGTGACCTTAATTTCTTTAGGAGGAACAGTGATCACAGGTTGATAGGTGAAAAGTGTTTTAACATGTCTGACTTTTCTTCGTGTTATATTTGGGCTTGCTTGGTGACAAAGACCATGAACAATGTCTTATTTTTATCCTCCAACAATGTCTTATTTTTATCCTCCATACATCACTAATATACATTTTCTCAATGGAATATTATAGATAACGTATGTTGGTGGTAGTGAATATGGATGGAGAGCTCTTCTGCAAACCAAGAAATCCTAAGTTCTTCTGGTCCTGCCTCTGACATACACTGACTGTGTGACCCTGGAAAAGTCACTTAACCTGTCAGTGCTCCACACAACTCTCTGACTGTAAATTGCAGAGAAGGTACCAACCTGCTTTGGTAGAGGGAATTTCCTTACTCAGGAATTCCTTATGCCCTTGAAGTCATAGACAATCCTGATCTCCATTAATGAAAACTTAGAATAATGTATTTTCACAGCAGGAACTTTTACTAGAAATGATGGACTTAATTATGAACACATTTTCCTTTCCTTTTTTGAGGGTGGCAGTCAAGGTTAAGTGACTTGCCCAGGGTCCCACAGCTAGTAAGTATCTGAGGCTGAATTTGAATTCAGGCCCTTCTGACTCCAGGGGCCAGTGTGCAAACCACTGTGCCACCTAGCTGCCCCAACGTCTTTTCTTTCTCTCTCTCTCTCATTTTTTCTTTTTTTTGTAAATAGGATTTTATTTTTTCCAGTTACATGTAAAGATAATTTTCAACATTTATTTTTAAAAAGATTTTGAGTTCCAAATTTTTTTTCTTCCCTACCCCCTCCTCAAGACAGCAAGCAGTTTGATATGGGTTATAGATTTGCAACATCCAGCATGTTTTGTTTTAATTTGTTTTCTTTTTGAGATGCTCAACTCCAAACGTTTGCTAAGAGTATAAACTTGTGGGATGCATTTTCTACGATGAAATTTGGGCTTTGTTAGGTTTTAATTGCCTTCCCACTTTCAGGAAAGGGGAAGTTCTTTGAAAATATTCTATATTCTGGCACTGAGTGGAGTTTGTACCTTTTAAAAAGTAAATCAGTGAAGGGCCCAAACTGCAAATTTTGCTTTTGGAGTCATTAAACATTAAATGCCTACTGTGTGCCAGGCACTGTGCTAAGCATTGGGACTACAAATAGAAACAAGACAATCCCTGCTCTCCAGGAACCCACAGTCTGTTGGGGGAGATAACATTCAAACAACTATGTACAAACAGGCTTTATGTAGAAGATAAATTGGAAGTAATAGAAGGAAGGCACTAACATTACGGGAGAGCGGCAGGAAAGGTTTCCTATAGGAGGTGGGATTTTGGCTGGGGCTTGAAGGAAGCCAGAGAAGCTGGTTCCCTTAGAGGAATCTGTTGCCACCAAACTTAATGTTTCAATTATTTTCACAATCTGGCTTCCATTCTTTTTTTTTTTTTTGGTTGGGCAGTGGGGGTTAAGTGACTTGCCCAGGGTCACACAGCTAGTAAGTGTCATGTGTCTGTGATAGGATTTGAACTCAGGTCCTCCTGAATCCAGGGCCGGTGCTCTATCCACTGCGCCACCTAGCTGCCCCTAGCTTCCATTCTTTATGCCATTCACCACTTTGTGAAGCTGGTGATAGCCAAATGTTAAATATGGAAATGTTTGGGCTCCCTTTAGTAAGATATTGATAAATGACAAATGGTCATAATGCGTGGTGCATTTATAAATTTAAAAACATTCTTAAGAAAAAGTTCCTAATACAAAAAATGTTAAAGATCCCTATTGTAGTTCTTCATATACAAAACCAGTTTCCTTTCACGTGGTTTTAGAGTAAACCAGCCTAACCTAGTTTATACTAAAATCGCCCTCCTATGTAGCAAGCATTACAACAAGGTTAGTGTTTTTAGGATGAAATAATATAGTAGAACATTTTTATTTTATAATATTCAGACTTGTAGTGAAGTACAAATTGAATGCTGCATCTCACTGAGTCTTTAGATATTTAGATAATTGTGCCCAAAATAGATTGGTTGATATTTATTGGATCTGAAAAATTATAAGTGATCTGTGTGGAGTTGGTTTTTTTTTGGGGGGGGAGGTGTAGTCTAAACAATCTTAAATGGTTTGGACACTTGGGATATACTGATGAGCGAAACTTCACACTCTTTTGAAAGTAAAGTTGAAGTAAAGTGACTTAGGAGCAGATATAGAAAACATGTAGGGAGAGAATGAAGACTGTAAATGTAGGACAAGAATTAAATGCTGTATGTAGGCCACTGGAGAAGGTGATTGGGCAGGATATTGGGAAAGACAGAAATGACCTTTCTGAGCACTACTGTAGATTAGATAATACTATTTGATATTTAGCTCTCAAAACTTGTTAAATTTTCTTGTTATTCTTTAAAAGGTTTTAAAGATGAGCTCTACTTGTATCACAGTAATGTGGGAGCCTTAGGAAGTTCCATGTCTCAAATGAGTTTAAGCTGTATTAATCTGTGACTCAAAGCATTGGAGAGACTACTAAGCTGTATCTTCTTTTCATTTGTGAGGCAGACTCATTCCATGGTGTAAGGCGCAGGGGTCAATTCACTGCAGGCTAAAATGTAATTGGGAATGTTTAACAAAATAAAAAGACAGTACAACAAAGATGGTTAATTTGTGATTTTCTTAGTAAGTGGTCAGCTGGTTTGATATGAGTCGTGTAAGGAATATCATTGAGGAAATATTTTATTGCAAAAGAAAGTGGGCTGGTCAGATACTATGAATAAAATACTTGATCACCTGAGTACTCAATCCATCCTTTCTAAATGTAAAAAGACCTAGAGGAAGACTTCTAGGAGATCTAGCAGGTCTCCTGCATAGCACTGATGGATATAAAAACCTAGACGTGTGTGTGTGTGTGTGTGTGTGTGTGTGTGTGTGTGAGAGAAAGAGAGAGAGAGACAGACAGACAGAGACAGAGAGAGGTAGAGAGATGTGAGAAGTCATGTATGGGCTGTCATCTATACTTTTATTCATAATATGTCTTTTGATGGGATCCCACATTATTTGAAGTTTGATGAGATAGCAGATTAATTGAGTGTCTCTATGGACCATTAAGGACAATATAGGAAACTGATTATTTAAATTTATAATGTACCATTTTTTTATGATAAGAAGGTAATGCAGTAATCATGCCACAAAACAAATCACATAGGGTACATTTTCTTTAGGCACTTGTCAAGGAGAAATGCTTTCCTTTTTGTCTTCTGTAGCTGAAGCATTTTGCCTTCTACCTAAGCTTGTTAAAGATAACCATTGTAAATCCTAAACAAGAACGAGTTCACCAAAGAATTTGGAGATTTTAGCGGTCAGGGAAAATAATTATAAAATACATTCATAGGTTTTTTAAATGAAGAGATACTCTTCACATGAAGAAATTTGTAGTTTTAAAAAATTGGAGGACTGATTTTTAAATACAAAATAAATTCCGTTCTTGGAAAGACATAGATATAAAGAAGTTGCAAATATATTACGATTAGTTTCATCCCATTTCATTTTGAGCAGTTAAAAGGTTTACTGACTAGTCTTGTTAAATAGCAGCCTAATGGACATTTATGTTGAGATCAGACTTTAGGGTTTGTATAACATTACATGTGTCATTTGCTTGACATGGTTGGTACTATGCCAATATGATTATTGATAGAATCTAGTTTTGTTTCTTAAGTCTCCCAACTAGAACATTTTGCTATACTTTAGCAGTTTAACTTCAGCTTTCTAGTTCATTTTGAATGCAACATGAATCACTAATCAGTTAAATTTTCATTCCAGTGATGCCACTGATTAGCCCTTGATTATGTAAACCACTGAAACGTTCCTTTAAAAATAAGATATGGTTTGCTTATACAGTTAATATAGACTTTTGATTATTTTATATACACCTGCAGATAGATCAGAGATTAAAATTCAGTATATGCATATCAAAAACTCCCCTTTTCCCTTTTCATTTGAGTCATCCATAAAACATGTAGGACTGTGCATATAATGGGCAACTAGGTGGGTCAGTGGGTAGAGCACCAGGCTTGGAGCCGAAAGGCTTGTCTTCCTGAGTTGAAATCTGGCCTCTTACACTTATACACTTACTAGCTGTGTGACCCTGGGCAAGTCATTTAACCCTGTTTGCTTCAGTTTCCTCCTCTGTAAAATGAGCTGGAGAAGGAAATGG